GACTGTGAAGAGGGATTACATCTTTCTTTACTGACTCAAAGAGACAGCTGAATATAGCTGCCTAAACTAGCCCTAGGCAGAAGATGGGTACCCCTTGAAAAATCAGAACCCCAGTCCTGCACTGTGCATGAGTATAGTCCTATACATATATAGGACTATATTATAATCCCATTACTCACTGCCATTGTGTTGGATCCAACTCATAGCAACCCCTCCTTGGGTTTCCAAGGTGGTATCACTATGGAAGTAGATTGCCCAACCTTCCTTCCGAGGAGTGGCTGGTAGGTTTGAACCGCCAACCTTCGGATTAGCAGACAAATGCCTTAGACACTATGCTACCAGAGCTCCTTATAATCCCATTAGGGTATTTATATAGACCCACCAGCCACTCCTCAGAAGGAAGATGGGGTAATCTACTTCTGTAGTGATACTGCCTCGGAAACCCAAGGAGGGGTCGCTATGAGTCAGGTCCGACTGGATCCGACTCGATGGCACATAACAATAACAATGTGTATATATATATATATATATATATATATATATATATATATATATATATATATATATATATTCCCTAATGGGATTCTACAGGCATAGAGGTTAAGATTTACAACACATTTCTGGGGGGACATAATTTGATCTATAACAGACACAGTCATTCCTTCTGATTATAATATGCTCAAAGCCAAACACTATGGCCTTAGCTGCTTTTATCCAGGTGATCTTCAAAGTCTGAAAAAAACATATCTTTGGTAACAAGTGGAAGTAGTCCAACATTTGGCACTACCCTTTCAATGCATAAATCTTAACTGAAAAACTAACAAAAATCTCACCTGGCATATAACTTGTCGGACCCCAGCAGCAGCAAACCTTAAACCACCTCCACTGAATTCTCACAGATAACAACCCACACAGAGGCTGAGTTCAGAGTTTCTCCATCAAAGAACTTAGAGCAGAACAAATCAACTAAATTGTTCAAAAGAAACAGAGTCCAAATTTCAAAGTCCTAGAAATGTAGAAGGGGAGAAAACAAAACAAAAAAAAGAACAAACCCATTGCCATTGAGTCCAACTCACAGAGACCCTATGGGACAGAGTAGAATTGACCCATAGGGTTTCCTTCCTAAGACTTTCCAAATGCTACCTCTGCCCCTGAGAGTGGGGTGGGCCCAGAGTCAGTGGTCATAAACCTGCCATCCTCTCAGTTTGAGTGTGGGTGAAAGGGAAAGCAAATATACTGAAGGTCAGACTCCAGACAAGTCAGCAGGGAAAACAAATACAAGTCCAACCACTATCCTTCTGGGACCATTCTAGATGAGCTTTGGCAAATTATAGCACATCAGCAAATGAACTTGAAGCCAGTCAAGGTGTGCACAGAAAAGATGGTCACTCATTTGGATTCCAGTGTCATTTTCATAACCACTCATTAACTGTCCATTATGTGTGAACAGCTCCAAAAGAATCCCAACGAATCGTTTCTTCTGGCAAAATTGTTCAGTGATTTGAGTCTAAAAATTTTCCATCATCTTGGCTATAATATATCTTTTTCTGTGCTCCTGCCTTTCGTATGAATTTAACATCTGAACATGAAAATGCCCACACGGTGGTAGTCCCTGAGCCTTGCAAACATTTGAAATGGAGAAGTTCCCCAGATTCTATTCCCAAACCTGAAGTAATTCTTAACAGTATGCAATTTCCCCTAGAAAGCACAAGATCAAAACACGCAAAACCAATCCTGTTATCATCAAGTCGATTCCGACTCATAGAGACCATATAGGACAGAATTGTTGTTGTTGTTGTTAGGTGCCATCAAGTTGTTTCCGACTCATAGCAACCCCATGCACAGCAGAACAAAACACCACCCCCGATTCCACACCAGCTCCACGATCCTTGCTATACTTGAGCCCACTGTTGCAGCCACCGTGTCAATCCATCTCATTGAAGGTCTTCCCCTCCTTCATCAACCCTCGACATTACCAAGCATGATATCCTTCTCCAAGGAATGGTCCCCTCTGACAACATGACCAAAGTAGGTGAGATGAAGTCTGGCCATCCTCGCTTCCAAGGAGCATCTCTGCTGCACCTCCTCCAGGACAGCTCTGTTAGTTCTTTTGGCAGTCCATGGTACCTTCAGCATTCTTTGCCAGCACCACAACTCAAAGCATCAACTCTTCTTCAGTATTCCTTATTCATTGTCCAGCTCTCACATGCATACGAGGCGATTGGAAATATCATGGCT